TTCTCTGTTTTTTTGGGGGGGTGGGTGTCTGTTCCACATGTGTTTTGCTCCCTCTAGTGGTTGATTCAATATCACACAGATTTATGTCCAGCTTAAAAACCTGCACTTTAAATCTGCAGGGAAATATGCTGGGAATAAACCTATGTGATCGCAAATCAACCAGTAGAGGGAGTAAAACACATGTGGAACAGGAACGCACCCCCCCCCCCAAAGAAACAGGAACTTATACTGCCTTGTACTGAATCAGGCCCTTGGTCCACCAAAGTCAGTATTGTCTACTCAGACTGGCAGTGGCTCTCCAAGGTCTCAGGCAGAGGTCCTTCACATCACCTACTGCCAGATCTATTAACTGGAGATACCAGGGACTAAACCTGGGACCTTCTGCATGCCAAACAGATGCTCTACCACTGAGCCACAGTCCCTCCCTAAATATCTTGAAGAGCATTTCCTTGTATATGACAGCCACCCTACTCTCCTCTAAACAGCATGGATCCAGGACAGTATTTCTGTGGGCAGAAGGGTTTCCTGCAGAGCGTGACATTTATCTTCCCTCTTCCCAAGTGCCCCCAATAGTCTTCCTGTCCCCCAAGAGCAGCATTTCACATTCTGCAGGAAGAAGCACTTCCATGCACAAAAGAACTGTCCTGGGTCCAAGCCTACATCATGATCTGCAAGAGAAACTGTACTTTGGATTCTTTTTTACGACAATAGTAAAATCTAGTTGGATGCAGACCAAGCTAGTATTACAGCTTTTTACAAAAGAAGGCATTCTTATTTAAACACATTCTGTTGAGATAGGGTTGCCAGCCTCCAGGTGGGGCCTGGGGATCTCCCGCTTTTACAACTGCTCTCCAGCTGACAGAGATCAGCTCCCCTGGAGAAAATGGCTGCTTTGCAGGGTGGACTCTATTGCGCTGTACCATGCTGAGGCCCCTCCCCTCCCCAAACCCCACCCTCTCCTGGATCCGCCCTCAAATTCTCCAGGTATTTTCCAACCCAGACCTGGAGCCCTATGTTAAGAATATTAGTGGCTGTGCTTTGTACACTGTGTCTATATGTTATGGCATTTATTTGTTTTGGGATTTTTGATCAATATTTTAAGTGACATTAGCAAAATCTAAGGTCTCAAAAGACTATAAGCCAAAATTACAAGTAGCACTGAATCCAGGGAGAACGTAATCAACCTTTCCTTCCTGCTTTTGACATTCTTAACATATTCTGTAGGCAACGCAAACCACTGGGCAATCTGCCTTGTGCATACCAGCCAACTCTACAGTGACAACTTAGGGGGCTGTAGGTTGCTGTTAATAAATAACACAAGGGATGAACAATATTTTAAAGATACAGAAGTATCTGTTTCAATATGGCTTCAGGGAACTGGGAAGAGAGGAATGTCTCGAGCAAGTTATTTTTGGATACTCTGCCAACACAGATCTAAGAATGGCAATTCAGTTTAATAGCTATTCATTAGAAAGAAAGAGCATTCATGTGAATGGATTCAACTAGCTCTTCATTTAATAGTATGTGAAAGTAATGCAAATAATTAGTGCTTCTTGGCACCAGCAGATTCCAAGCATTACTCAAGAGAAAAGGAAAAGGGCTCTGTGAACAGCTAATTACCGATGTAACCATTTGAATGTAGAATCCAGACATACGGGTTGCTTGTACCAGAGTGAACTGGAAATAAATCTGAACAGTCATCTATTCTCTCTCTTTTTCAGTTTATGATCTACTTCCTCTTTATTTATTTTCCAGGTCCCCAAGATAGTAAGCTTCTAGAGCAGGCTTGGTACTACAGGCCAAGCATGATGTATTAAAGAATTATTTGAACTGAAATATCTCCTTCCTGCCTCTACAGTGGATCCTAAAGGTATCTATCAGTCCTTAAGTCTGTCAGTGTTGATTGGCTATTATTTATAGGGAGACATTTCCTCAATTCCAGGTTTGCTCTAAAGCAACTAAAATTGCAATTTGAAAAACACATCAAGGGGAAAGCAATCTTTTTACCTTCATTTTGGAGGTAATTGAATAAAGCATTAAAGCGCTCAGTCGTTTTTCTATCTAAGTAATTGTTATTATCTCAAATCAAGAAGCCTGGGCAGGGAGAGGCTTTCCTGTTCATCAAGTCCAATTTCTTGGAAACAGTGCAGGTTATAACCCTGTGGTATTATCTCAAGAGAATACACTAATCTCTTTTAGAGCACTTTTCATCGATGGGCCCCCAGTGACCAATTTTTGGCAGCTCCTCTGTTTTCTGTGCCTTTTCTCTTTCACTGTTATTGTTTTTTATATCAGTAAAAAACATAGTTGATAGTTGGAGGAGACCTTAAAGGTGAAAGGTATCAATATTATTTTCTAGCAGCCCAATGATTTGGATAAGCGCTTGCTGTGTGCAGAATACTACTTTTCACACAAGTATTGTTCCTGTGTTTTTTGTCTATTACCGTTGTCATTTTAAACTGCAGAAATTGCCAAAACAACTCAACCTGATGCCTATTTAGGTGGTATTCAGAAGATTGCCCAGTGCCAGTATATGACCATGGAAACCAATTCTTGTAATGAGGAGGTGTAGAGATGGATTAATGACATTGGTGTGGCCTTTTCTTATTCTTTCTCTCCATTTCTTTTATCTTTGCCTTTATTAGATTTTATGCCTGTGAGCAGAAACTCTGATTCTTTAAAAAAAATCAATTGTAAAGTCATACTATAGAAATAATATATGATTATAAAAATATTATGGTTTTAGGCTGTTTTATATATTGCAAATAGGCCTACTATTTTCTGGTAATTGACAACAAAAGGACTCAACATTCCTTAATGGCTAGAAATCTCTTGCTAATTTATTGGAATGTCTCAGACTTCCATGCGTAGGAACAGAAGAATAACAGCAGTTACAGTTTACATTAGAGACAGGCAGAGAGGTTTCAGCAACTGCAGCTGAGAACAACTGTTGCCCCCAAGGAGAAACTGGTGTATGGCCAATTGTGATTGGAAGCGTATGTCTACAGCCTAAATGCTCCTTTGGTGTACTGTAAATAAACAGGCATTGCAAAGATATCGTAAGTTTTCAGAGATGCTTTATTACAAGGAAATTGATCTTGTAAAGAGGCCATGACTGGGCTGCCTTAGTAAGCATGGTGGTCTTAACTGGCTAGCTATGGATTTAACTGTAACTATTAAGGATCAGAAAGAATGTACTACACCAACAGCAAGCAACCCATAATAGTACTTGTCCTCACATGCATTACTAAAACTGAGAGGTAGAATGGCAAAAGGTCTGACTTGGAATCTCCCAGTTCATTTCATTTCTGCTACAACTCCAAATTCCTATTCTACCAGCCTCAGACTTAGGTCTGCAACACTGGCTTGCTTCAGAGGACAGTTATAAAGATTGTAGACCAAGAGTGGTAGCCATGTTAGTCTGCTGTAGCAAAAATAAACAGCAGTCTTTTGGCACCATAAAGATTAACAATTTTCAATTCCCATTTATGCTGGAATAAAAAAATGTGCTAGCCTTTACGGTATTGCAGGAATCTTTTTTTATTTTATTTTTTGGATCCCCCTAAGGGGATTTTTAATTGGTTTTTTCACAAGACTACAAACTATAACTGAAAATAAGGGAAGGGAAACTACATCTAGGGAGAAAGAAAAGAAACCCACTAATAACTAAAAACCCAAGAATGGGAGAACAATACATCAGTTTATCTCAATGTTAATCTAAAATGCTGGTAATACATTGAACATAGTCAGTTATGCTAGGTTAGGTATTGCAGGAATTTTATGTGGGGTTTTTAAAGTTATGTATATGAAGCACATTGAAAACTTAAACTGTATTATATGAATACTATTATCAGTGTTACAATAAGGAGTTGACTTATTTCATGTCCACTGTAAAGAAATCACCCAGGAGGTGACAGAGAAATATACACCATGACAATAAATTGTCTCACATATGGCTGCCGGGAACAAAATTGTATTAAAATATTGGATATGATATTCTAGGTGATGATTTAACTAACAGTTTATAGAAAACACAGGAATATTTGGGAAAATCTGAAAGTAGTTCAATGGATAGACACAGGTTTAAAATGTTCTCTTTTCCCAAAGTTTGCCCCACCCTTCCTTCAAGGACACCATTGGAGGATATATTGTCCTGTCATCCTCCATTTTTTTAAGAGGTTGTATTTTTAAGGTTGTATCAAGGTACAACCAACCTAGGGTGACCCCTCATGGGGTGTTCAAGGGCCAGAACTCGTTTGCCAATGCTTCTGGCTGGCAACCTTAGCCTTCGTCGGTGGTCTTCCATCCAAATACTACCTTCGTTGGTGGTCTTCCATCCGAATACTACCCGGGGTCGACCATGCTTAACTTTGAGAACCGACGAGATCATTCCCCTTCCCTCTTATCCTCAAAACAGAGCCTGTGTGGTTGGTTAAGAGGAGGAAGAGAATCGACTTAGAGCAAAGTGCAGTCCACGGTAGAACAGGGATTTGATTCGGAACCCGGTTCTCCTCGCCTTGAAAAACGCAAGAGAGGAGTGGAACCAGCTCCATCACCACTAGGGGCATCTCGGTTTTGGAGAATTCTGAGGGTGAACGGCTCTCTGCGAATAGAAAACGAGCACAGCGAGAAAACAGAACGCTGCCCCCTGTACTTTCACACGAAGCTTTTATGCAGAAGAAAATTCAAAACTGGAATCCACCACCTATAACTTAATGCCACCTCATTCCTCTGCCTAAGTAAATCAAACGACAGACTGTCACTGTACTTTTAGCTCCCCTACGCTTCTTGAAAGCAGCCCGCCGCTCTCTCCCCTCCCTCTTTCCCGCAGGTTTCTGCTCCAGAGAGCCAGGTGGCGCCGTCTCTGCGCCCAGCCCTGCTGCAGAAGGGCAGCGTGAGCGGCTCTGTGGTCGAAGTGCACGGCGGCGGGGTCGTCGTGCTTGCTTACAGTTGCTGCCTGGTGGGCGCTGCCCGGTTAGGGCTGGCCGAGCCGGACCGGGATGGGGCTCTGCTTGCCTTGCATGGGGGGAGCTGCTGGTGATGTAGTGGAGACGCTGGACCCCGTGAGTCCGAACTGACCTCCAGCTTTCCATCGCCTGTTTGTATTTGGGCGACCGCCTAAAGATGCACAGCTGCCTTATTGATAACTTCTCGTTGTTACAACAGGTTTAAATTTTGCTTAAATTTATTTTAACTCATTTTCCCTTTTAAATTTAATAGTCATCATACTTGCCCTGGTTTCAGGCTGGCTTTCAGGTTATTTCCCCCTTTTCTGCCCTTCTTGTTGCCTGAAATGTCAAAATACGCAAAGCAACATGTAAGTTTTAAGTAGTTAAAGAGGCTCAGGAGAGCCCATCAGTGCTTAGCAGCCTGACTTGGTGTCCTTTTACTCAGAAGTTAATCCCATGGTGTTTATTGGGACTCTCTTCCAGGTGTGCTGTCCAATTGCTGTGTTCTTGTCTGGTTTTGTTTAGGCTCTAGAAGAATGGGGGGGGAATAATTGTGTTGTAAGGTCAAAGAAGAAGAAGAGGTTGGATTTATACCCCACCCTTCACTACCCAAAGGAGTCTCAGAGCGGTTTACAAACTCTTTTCTGTTCCCCTCCCCACAACAGACACCCTGTGAGGTAGGTGGGGCTGAGAGAGCTCTGACAGAAACGACTCTTTGTCAAGAACAGCTCTTATCAGAACTACAGCTTGCCCAAGGTCATCCAGCCAGGTGCAAGTGGAGGAGTGGGGAATCAAACCTGGTTCTCCCAGATTAGAGTTCGCGCACTTAACCACTACACCAAACTGGCTCTCAAACTTCCTATACTCCCGTGTTACCAGACACATGTATGAAAAGAGCTGGGTGGTTTTTGTCAGAAGAAGAATTAAAGTCTACAATTCATAAGCCCTCATGACAGAAGGCTACCTGCTTCTGAAATGACAGGGTTTTTACTAGGGATCACAAGAGCTGCTGGGTCAGATGCATAGTTATCTAGCATGTAAAGTTGTTATTAAAGGAAAGTAGTGTGTAAAATGCAGAAGGAAGACTGTATAATTGCTTTTAAGCTATATATGGTTTTATGGCACCATTCTTTGGTACAACTACATGTGTCTGAGAGAGCTGCATTAATTATTCAACATTTAAAACCAATATGTTGCTTAGATCATATGCATTAAGAATACACCTTGAGAAATAATGGAGAAAAATACCTTTACTGCCATTTTTACTGACCTGCTTCTTGGATTTTAGTCTCAGGACTTGAAGTGCAATCCTATACACAACTGCTCCAGTCTAAGTTGTTGCTGTTGTTCAGCCGCACAGTCGAGTCCAACTCTTTGCGACCCCATGGACCACATCATGCTAGGCCCTCCTGTCTTCCGCCATCCTCTGGAGTTTGCTCAATTTTATGTTCATTGCATCGGTAACACTGTCTAACCATCTCATCCTTTGCCGTCCCCTTCTTCTTTCATCTTCAGTCTTTCCCAGCATCAGGGTCTTCTCCAGTGAGTTCTCATTTGGTGGCCAAAGTATTTGAGCTTCAGCTTCAGTATCTGTCTTTCCAGGGAACAGTCAGGTTTGATTTCCTTTAGGATTGAGTTCTCTCTTCTCCAGCACCATAATTCCAAAGTATCTATTGTTCGGTGCTCGGCCTTTTTTATGGTCCAACCCTCACACCCATACATTACTACTGGGAATACCATCACTTTGACTATGCAGCCTTTTGTTGGCAGTGTAATGTCTGTACTTTTTATTATGCTGTCTAGGTTTGCCATCGCTTTCCTCCCAAGGAGCAGGTGTCTTTTAATTTCGTGGCTGCAGTCACCATCTGCAGTGATCTTGGATCCCAAGAATGTGAATTCTGTCCCTGCTTCCATGACTTTCCCTTCTATTTACCAAGGAGTGATGGGGTTGGATGCCATTATCTTAGTTTTTTTTGATGTTCAGTTTCAAGCCAACTTTTGCACTCTCCTCTTTCACCCTGAGCAAGAGTCTCTTTACGTCCTCTTCACTTTCTGCCATTAGAGTGGTATCATCTGCATATCTGAGGTTGCTGATGTTTTTCACGGCAATCTCAATTCTGGCTTGTGATTCATCCAGGCTGGCATTTCGCATTATGTACTCTGCATGTAAATTACATAAGCAGGGTGACAATATACATCCTTGCTGTACTCCTTTTCCTATGCTAAACCAATCAGTTGTTCCATCTACAGTTCTAACTGTCGCTATTTGACCCTTATACAGGTTTCTCAGGAGACATGTGAGGTGGTCTGGTACTCCCATCTCTTTAAGGACTTGCCACAGTTTGTTGTGACTCACACAATCAAAGGCTTTAGTGTAGTCAATGAAGTAGAAGTAGATGTTTTTCTGGTACTCCCTTGCTTTCTCCATAATCCTGCGAATGTTGGCAATTTGATCTCTAGTTCCTCTACCTCTTTGAAACCCAGCTTGTACTTCTGGCAGTTCTCTATCCACGTACTGCTGAAGCCTAGCTTGTAGGATCCTGAGCACATGACCTTGCCAGCGTGTGAAATGAGTGCAATTGTGCGATAGCTTGAAAATTCCTTGGCAAAATGTTGTATACATGGTTGGAAAATGTGTATAAAAAAGACTCCAAAGAATAAGAAATGTAAATCGTAACGAATGATGTATAATAGAAAATCATATAAATAAAAAAATTAAAAAAAAATTCCTTGGCATTGCCCTTTTTTGGGATTGGAATGTAAACTGACCTTTTCTAATCCTGTGGCCACTGTTGCGTTTTCCAAATTTGCTGGCATATTGAGTGCAGCACTTTAACAGCATCATCTTTTAGGACTTTGAATAGCTCAGCTCCAGTTTAAGACCACTGATTAACTCGTTAATCTCACTTCACATTAATAATAATACATGTTCCTTTGTGGTCTTTTAAAATATTGTCTCTTGATACAGCATCTTGCAGAAATCCCTGCCGCATTTGATTGATCTTTAAGATGCCCTCAAACCCATTGTCCTGTTGCTGCAAATAATTATGCTTAATACAGTACTTATGCTTGTTACGGGGGGAGGGGTCAGTGGTGAAATAGACTGGTGGACCAGTGAAAAGTCTTCTGTTTTCCTTGGGGGGGAAGCAGTATGAATTAACTGGGCCTCTATGTATTACCAAGAGTTTTTGTGGAAGGTCTAGTTCATGATGGTTTCTATCTGTGGATTATAAAGGAAGGACACATGCTTCACCTCTGTCACCCACACTCACCCTGACTGGGTATATGGACTGGGGTTAATGCAGCTTCTCCTGATTAGTATTCTGAAACTTGTATATGTTTAAAAATATCCCTCTAATTCCTGTTATAAAGATGGGAGCAGAGTGTACCTTAAACAAACTCCTAGTGAATGTATAAATGGAGCTTGAACCCAGGAGTTGCCTGTCTTATTCAAAAGGGAACTCTGCCTCTCCTTGGCATAGTTTCTCTCTTCATGAATATTTTTAAAATATAATCTGACTAGGAATAAGGCTCATTGTGGAAATAAATACAGCGAACTCCAGAAAGAGGCTCTGGCAGAGTGTCCCGGCCATGGGCACTCAGCGTCAATTTGCTGTGGCAACCTCAGTAGGGTATAATGATATAGAGTCCACCATTTTTACAGAGGAACTGTTCTTTGCTACCTGAAGAGCAGTTGTAATTCTGAATGATCTCCAGCCCCCACCTGGAGATTGGCAACAATGGTTCCCCAGAAGGAAATGGTTGGTTTGGAGGGTGGAGTTTATGGCATTGTACCTGTATGCTGCTGCTGTCTTTTCCCCAGCAGGAAAAGTACAGGTGTTCTCTGCAATGTGGACCAAAGCAGCTTATATCACTCTCTTCTCCCCTTTTTGACTTGCACAACAATCCTGTGAGGTAGGTTAGGTTGAAAGTCTGTGACTGGTCCAAAATCATCCATTCAGCTTCCACAGCAAGAACCTGAGTCTAGCAGACCCTGCTCTGAAGTGCTGACTGCTACACCTAAGGTAGCCAATCTCCAGGTGGAGCCTGAAGAGCTCCAGGTATCACAACTGAACTCCAGACAACAGATCTCTCCCCCCTGGAGAAAATAACTGCTTTGGAGGGTGACCTCTATGGCATTGTATTCAGCTGAGGCCTTTCCCCTCCCCAAACTCTGATTTCCGTAGACTCCATTACAACATATTCAGGAATTTCCCAACCTGGAGCTGTCGTGCCACAGGTTTTTGGCTTCCTGTTTTCTGTATGTTTGGTCCCATTCTCTATCTCTGCTTGTGTGTGTATCCACTGGCTTTATTGTAATAACTTGGGCTAGTCCCCCCCCCAGCACACTGACAGCCGTTTATTTGGCGGGGTTTTGTTTTTTTCGTTCTGGAAAGTTGCCTCAGCAAACTTGGCTTGGAGGTTAAAGACGGTGGGTTTTGTCCCCTGAGGGACTCAATCGTTGTCTGGCAAGGAGAGCGAAGACAGTAGCTGTGTTCACTGGAGCAAAGCAACTGTCTTCTGAAGAAAGTTTTGGTGGGCGCCACCTTTGAGTGACACATCATGGAGCCAACTGATTTAAGGGTGTGTGGAATGTTCAGAAAGTGCCACCCGACTACTCAGTTATGTATAAGGACAGATTGCTCCCAGAATTTACAATTGGGGTGTTCACCTCTGTGTTCTATTTGGATAGTGGATGGTGCTGTGGAATAGTGGTCCAATCCAAAACCTCTTAATCAGGCTAATTTGTTTTCCTTATAGAGTCAGCACCCATATCTTGCACATGCATTTATATATGCTTGTAACCTGAGTACCGCTTTTCAGGAAAAAATAAGGAATAGGAAAAATTTTAAAAAGAAAAACATAACTCCTTTTGATATGTCTACTTGTACGGGTACTACCACAATAGCAGCAAACTAGGTATTAGTACAGGTGTGAAATATGTGCACTTGTCTTCAGAGACTTATTCCTATAGACAGTTCTTACACAGTAGGAATTGCTGGATTACATCTTGCCCAATCAATTTGTTGGTGTTCTGGTGACAGGAGCATCTCCTCTGCAGTATATTGACTTCAGGGTCTGGTCCTGGTTTTACATTATGTGCAAGGAGAGAGTGAAACAAAATGATGATGGCACCTATAAATGTAACTGGAATAGTTGCATCCTCCTACCTATTAATTTGTCTTGATTCTGGTTCTTTTAATAAGCATCTTGAAGAGATCATTTCCATTGAAAAGTGGCAGTTCTGCCATTTTGGGCACTTAGCCCTCAATTCCCAGGGTATGCTGCTGCTGTCTTAATAAGATTTTTTGTACTGATTTTTTAAAAAAGAAGATAATCAGGCCAATCAGGGTTTGGATAAAAAATAAATTTCTCTGTAGTGATTAAAAATGTTGCTGTGTTTCAAGTAAGAAAATGAAGAGAAGAAATCAAATTTCAGTGGAGATTCAGTGGAGATTAGATAAACAATATTTTTCTCTGAAGAAAAATTGTGTTACTGATTCATGTAACATAGAGGAATCTCACATTACCCTTTTTAAGCCGGTTTGAAGCCGGTTTTGATCCGTCATGGGGCTGCCATTTCACACATGGCTTTCTCCTACCAGTAAACAGCTGGATCTGAAGCAGTTTGCCATTTCAGACTGCACTGCTTTTTCCTGCTTTTTCCTGCCGATTTTCACCCGCGTGAGCGATCTCCGGCTTTTTTTTAAACGTTCGCTTTAGAGCGTTATAGCGCTATAACACAACACTCCAGGCATTCCAATGGGATTTCTATAATGCTGTTTTGCTGTTGTGTCATAGCACTATAGTGCTATAGCGCTCTAAAGCAAACATTAAAAAAAAAAGCCGGAGATTGCCTGTGCGGGCGAAAAACAGCAGGAAAAAGCGTTTTGGATCCGGGAGAAGAAACTGAAGACTACTTGGAAGTGGTTTACAGGTAAAACGGGACAGAAGCATTTATGTGTGAAAGTACAAATATATTCCGGTAGGGAACCGGTTCTAAAATAGTTGTGTCTGAAATGTCAGACCAGAAACCGTTTGGGAACTGTTCCTGAACCGGAATATATCGCCTGTCTGAAATTCCTCATAGTCTCCTAAATTTGAAACAAGCATTAGATTACTTTTTGTTCATATGGAGAGCCAGTGTGGTATAGTGGCTAAGAGTGGTGGACTCTAATCTGGAAAACTGGGTTTGATTCCCCACTCCTCCACATGAAGCCAGCTGGGTGACCTTGGGACAGTTACAACTCTCTCAAAACTCTGTCAGCCCCTACCTCACAGGGTGTCTGTTGTGGGGAGAGGAAGGGAAGGTCATTGTAAGCCGCTCTGAGACTCCTACGGGTAGTGAAGTGTAGGCTATAAAACCATCTCTTCTACTACTACTACTGACTTGGTTACCAGCCTTGCAGTGTGATCACGCTCTTACTTCAGGCGGACACTAAGACTGTTTCATGTGTACACCATTCCAAGAATCATCAACCCACTTGACTCCAAATACAGTCATCTGTACGTGCAGCACAAGCAAGGCTTGATGCCAAAGCCACTGAGTTTCTACTGTTTTCAGTTTGGGCAATTCTTGGCATAATATATGTGACTACTTTGGTAGGTCTCGGTGTCATAATCCAGCACATTTGATTTCCGCAAGCTGCATGGTATCCTGCACAGCCTCATTTCTCAGCAGTTCACCCTGTCCATACAGGAAAAGAAATGTTTCGCAGTTCAGTTTCATAGGCAGTGTTTTAGCCCAGTTATTGTATTCAATATGTCCAGTTTAACGCTAAAGACTGAGTGTGCAGAATGCTTATTTGTAGACATGCTCTAAGTTGTTCTATTTGACAAGAACTTTCAGTGAGGGTAACTGTGACTTCTATAAGACAAGCTAAGTGCCTAATGTTTTCTGAGCATGTTTGCTCCACATATTTGAATGACTTCGAGATAACACAAGTGTTGACCTTGGCTTGCAGACCCCTATAGTGTGCTTTGATCAGCCTTTGCATACCCAGTCTTTGTAACTCTTGCAGCACTATTCCAAGCCTTTAATATGTATGGCTCACTGAGTCTGTGTAGTGTAGTGGTTAGAGTGTCGCACTAGGATCAGGGAGACCCAGGTTCAAATCTCCCCTCTGCCATGAAGCTTGTTGGGTGACCTTGGAGTCCCAGACTCTTCAGTCTTTTCTCACAGGGAAGGTGCTCCAACTGCCTAATCATCTTGGTTGGCCTCCTCTGTACTTTTTCCAGCTCTGTGATGTCTTTTTTGAGATATGGTGACCAGAACTGTTCAGAGTATTCCAAATGAGGCCACACCATAGATCTATACAGGAACAATATGATATTGGCCATTTTATTTTCAATCCCTTTCCTAAAGAACCCTAACAGTAAAGTTTGCCTTTTTCACCACTGCAGCACACTGAGTTGACATTTTCATCGAGCTGTCTACTACAACCCCAAGATTGTTCTCCCTCTCAGTTTCAGCAAGTTCAGACCCTGTTAGCCTATACTTGAAACTGGGTTTCTTTGTTTTGTTTTGTTTTTGTCCCAGTGTGCATCACCTTGCACTTACCAACACTGAACTTCATTTGCCACATGGTTGGCCACTCACTCAATTTGTGGAGATCTTCCTGGAGGCCTTCACAGTCATCCTATTCACCATCCTGAATAATTTGTGCAATCTGCAAATTTGGCCACTACACTACTCACTCCTAGTTCCAGATCATTTATGAACAAATTAAATAGTACCAGCCCCAATACCAGTCATTATGGGTTCTCACCACTTACTTCCTTCTATTGTGAGAACTGTCCATTTATTCCTATTCTTTACTTCCTGTCATTTAACTAATTTTTAATCCATAAGAGAATCCATCCTTTTATCCCATGACTGCTAAATTTACTCAGGAATCTTTGGTGATGTACCTTGTCAAAAGCCTTTTGAAAGTCTACCGGGTCATCTACATGTTTGTTCACTTTCTCAAAGAAATCAAGAAGTTTAGTGAGGCAGGCCGTCTCTTGCAGAAACCATGCTGATATTCCCTCAGCAGGCTTTGTTCCTCTGTGTGCCTGATAATTCTGTCTTGGATCACAGTTTCTACTAATTTGCCTGGGGCAGACTTTAGGCTGAGTGGCTGTAATTTCCTGGTTCCCCTCTGGACCCCTTTTTATAAATTAGTGTAATACTTGCTACTCTCCAGTCTTTTGGTACAGCAGCTAAATTTAATGATAGGTAACATATATGGGTTAGTAGACATGATCAAATAGTAGGTAATTAACAATATTTGACTGATTGATCAGTATGCCAACCCTATTTTTTTCTCAGTGAAATTATCAAAAATAAATTATCTTATTGTTCTCTTCCATATTTGATATAGGAAATTAAAAGGAGACAACTTGCCGAAGCTGCAGAAAAAAGGCAGATGGAGGTAATGAAATCACACATTTGGCAGAGAGAGATGCCAGCTACTCAGATACACCTTCTTGCATAATGAATGTGATGCATCTTTGCTGGAAGTCAGTTTTTTTTAATCTTTCAATTTATTGATTGCTCAATCCTTGCAGAGCTGCTGGCTCTGAGCAATTTACAGTTACTCATTTCACAAGGGACTAACAATGCTTTATAGGGGTAAGGGAGGACAACCCATATAATCTTTACATAGCACACGTTTTGCAGCCGACGGGGATTTGTTCAGTTGCAACTCAGACGTGATCCGGACGGCATTTTTCCCACTCGGCTTGGCTTGGCTGGATGACGTCAGCTCTTCCTCTCCAGGACTCTTCGAATCGCAGCTCAATACTGCCACCGCCTGGCCGGAACGGACCATTACAGGCTTCTTGATGAATTGAATTTTATTGTTACAGCACATAGCCAGCTTCTTGATGCCAAAGAGATCTTCTAGGCTTTTGAGCTTGCGAGCCAAACCTTCCGTTTGCCGGCTAACACCTTTCCCACGGGGGGGGGGAGTTTGGTGTGCCCACCCTCTCTAAGGAGTGGTACCCATTTTATCTACTCACCAAAGCTTTTGAACTGCTGTGTACCCTATGAAGGAGAGACAAGGCTGGTAGCTCACACCAGCGCGGGGCTAGAACTGACAGCAGTCCTGTTCAGCTCAGATGTTACTTGTAACCAGAGGATAAATCCCCTGTGCCATCGCTCCCCATCACTTAAGAATGTGGGAAAGTGGGTATCATTATGGCATTACAGTTGACTTTGACTTTCTAGCCAATGTTTATGGAGTTTGGCACCAAAGTTGCATGAATGAGTACATGTTTCTGAATCTACTTCTGGGTGGGGGGAGCAGCCCCAAAGTAGAAGTGGCAGTTGTAAAAAAAGGGCTTTTAATGGTTGTAAATGGGGGTTTTGCTGCACATTCGGCTGATATAGCTGCACCATACCCTTCTGCTGAGGACCAAACCTGTGTTCCACCTTCCTGCCATGGCTAGTGATGGTATTCCCAGTGGCTCTTTGTCGTTTTGACTGTTTAAAGATTTTTATTTTATTGCAGTTCATTTGAGTTGAGCTGAAGAAAATAGAAGGGCAGGGCTCTGCCACATTGCTGAACCCTGCAAGAGAAAAATGAGGCAAATTATAAGTGTTCCTGAAACAATCATAATATCCCACCTTGAAATATTTAACAACAATGGTAGCAAACATGTTAGAATGTGGAGTATAAGTATTTCTGCATTTAATCCTTTTTTGGTATTTCCTAAATTACCTGTATCATGAGGGCAATTCTATCATGATAATTTTATTTTTATTTTATTTTATTCAATTTATACCCCGCCCTTCCAGCGAGCAGGGGATGAGCTGTGAGAGAAATAGCATACTGGACTTTTAAATCACAAGGGACTGTTTTTACAGGCTTCTTCACCATTGTATTCCAGGCTTTACCCTTGATGATGATGAGAAGCATGTTGCTACACTCCAGTGTATTCACATATAAATATTACAGCAGTTGTATACATTTGTATGCAATTACATGAATTTAATGCAAGCCATAAAGCTTATGAAAATAGTCTTGTTTATAGCTGCACTTTTTTGAAAAGGGGCAACTACATTGTAGTTTGCTCATTATGCCCTTTTTCCCCCTCAAAGGCCTCATCTCGTGGTATTAAGAATCCATCTTCTGTTGAACAAAAGAAAAGGAGACAGGAGGAAATGGAAAAACATCTTGATTCAGCAGGGCCTGGACCAGAAGGAGGCGGGCTTAGAGTAAGATTAAAAACATGCTTTTCTTTCTCTTACAATGTTAGCATCTCTTATCCCTCTGCTGACTTATTGACTGCCATTTGGCTTTTTGTTTTAGAAATAACTGTATAAAGATATGTGTATTGTAGGCTTTTGTCAGATTTCATTGATACTTAATGCATTTAAAATCTGAACATTCAGCTTGTTGATCCAGAGGAGTGGAATGAATTCACACGGTCAGTTTAAGAAGAAAAAAAATGTGATTGGATCCTATGAACTTTCAGCACAAGTAATTTGCAAAGGTGGGTCTTCCCAGCAGCCTGTGGTGACCCTGAAAAGCCTGATACTGACTGTCGGAGGATGACTGTGGACAAAGTGTCATTCAGAACAGAGCTTTCGGTGAACAGAGGGGATTGGTAGTGGAGAAAGTTCAGCAGAATACGATTTCTGCTAGTACAATGGTAAGTGTGGTGGGGAGATTTCATCTGATGCCCTCTCCTCACTAGCCCCTGCTCCATGTGGCATTTTGTCCATACCAATCCCCAGCCCTCAGCATTTGATTTTTTCAAGGGTACCAGGGTTTGCTGGAGGATGATCCAGTTATGGAAATTTATTTATTTATTTGGATTTGTATCCTGCCCTCCCCGAAGGCTCAGGGCGGAAACCTCTTGCTGTGACAGTTCAGAGTATCAAATCCCATTTTTAAGTGGGCATCTGAATCCATCTTATTCCTCTCGACCACAGACTATAAGTCGTCAGGTAAACCAAGTGTTAGTACACTTTGTGTGACCCATGATTCTGAAGGCAGTCATTTTGCGAGGTGGTTAGAGCAGCTATGACGAGGGGGCCCACCTCCCCCTCCATTGGCAATGCCTTGGAGCTCTGTTGGGGTCCGGAAGCGTCTGTCGCCCTCTCCGGTAAGCCCACCACCCGCCTTCGGATGTGCAGATGCGATTGCTTAGTCATGCGTATGCACAAACTTCCAGTTTTTTAAAAAAATCCATCCCATTTGCCACACGCCGCTCTGCTTCTTTGCCGCGCTGCAGGATGGTTGTCTGATCGGCACCTCCCCCCTAACCACGGGACCTCCACAGGACCTCCAGGGGATGTCTGATTGTGCAACCACGTGTTATTTTGCCCCGGGGCAAACTTCCACGCGTTCCCCCCTCTGCATTTTCTGGCCCGTGTGACCAGGGCCGTGGTTTGGCTTCTGTAAAGGCTAATGAGTTCTGGTTCAGAAGTTTCCCTGTAGAATCTTCTGTTGAAGTTCCTTAGCGGGAGAAGGCTTACTTTCTGGTTAGCAACTAAGTGTCCTGGAGTCACCCACAGGTTTTTGAATGTTGCTGTATATACGTCTGTATGAAATGAATGGTCTTGTGTTTCATATAGCTTGTGTATGGGGAGAGCTTGCCCAAATGTGGAAGTAACTCTTTCAGGAGATCTTGAATGAGTCGGGATGGTGTTACATATCAGTGTCTCATATGAAGATTGTGAGGGGCAGTCTTGATTCGTATAACGTTAATATCAATGCTTTACCTCTGACCTTTTTGTTCCTAGTGGCAAGTTGGATAACTCTGGTGCAGCTCCGGATGGGAAGGACAGGATGAATGTTCTACTGCCAATAACTTGCCAGTTCCTGCAGCTGAATGACACTTGTCCAGTGTGTTTGGCTTTTGCTGTTGTTTGCCTCTGGAGACTCAGCAGTACTTTGCCATCAAGGCAGGACAGATGGAAGAATGTGCACTAAGGATCCTTTTTCAAACCAAAACCTCACAATGTACAGCAGAGAGGGCCAAAACCAGTTGTTTACTAGTTATGCTGCCATATTGTGTAACATTGCATGTCTTAACATATTGGGAGGGGGCAGGCAGATTGTGGAAGAGGCACTTACAATGATAAATGAAAAGTTCATAGCTTGATTGTTCTGAAGATAATCCTGCTTTTAGTAATTTCCCTCGATGCCCAACTGTGTCTTTTGTCTGTGTCATGCTTATAGAATTGAAGCCACAAACTCAGCCCCGTTACTCAGAACTAAACTGGGCCGAAGTCAGTAGGCTTCCCTGAGAGTAAACGTTTTGAAGGTGGAAGTTTTTGTGCCTTCGAGGTTGAATTTACATGTTTTAAGAGAATTGTCACCATAAAGTGAAAAATGCCTGTCCTTGGTTATTTGTTCTTTGAAATGCCACCACTGTGGAAGAATTAAAGTACAGCCATGTGAAAGGGACTGTAATTTGTACAATAGAGACTAATCCATGGCTGTGCTTCTCATTTACCACACAAGGCTATATTTGTAAGAATAAAGATGTACTGAAAGCAATTACTACTTTGTGGTGAGATTTCTCTCTAAAAATCAACATGTAGACTTAATCTGATAAATCCTGGAGAATGGTTGTTTCTGCAAATCCATAGTTACTAAAATTGCTTCAAATCATTATGGTGCATATGTACTTATGCCAAGATAAATACGTTCGTATGGTTTATTCTCTTCATCTTTTGGATTTTCCTATTTATGATATTTGGAGATTCATGATTATTGCTAATTAAAGATACAACTAAGCTAATAAGGATTCACCTGAGTGCAATTCTCCTTGTATGCATCTCATTCTGTAATGTAAATGAGCCAGCCAGCCATTTGAAGTGAGGAATGGCTCATCTATTTGTCAATACATTTGGTAATCTGTCTTTTTTATTAGTCTTTCAGAACAGCCTAGTTCTTGGAAATAGTGAGAGAAGGGTTATAAGCTTACACTTATAACACAGTGGATAGACAGTTTTATCTTTACATGAACCAAATAATTTTGTATGTGTGTATCTGTTGCTGGTTCTTTGTCTTCCCCCAAAGTGGCAGAGCTTTGCTGCTGAAATGAATCAGTTCAGTGGACAATGTACTCCTTCCCTTCCCTCCCTCAGTCCCACTTGATATGTAAACTGAAGCTGGATTTTGGGGGGATAATGGACTGAATTTGGTGTCTCTGGTTAGTGACAATTTTAAAAGAACAAAATCCCTGGAATTAAACATCCCATTCAAACAGAATAAAAATCAGTTGCGACTAGAATAGTTTAAAATCTCCCCTTCAGTGTTCTAAATCAACCACAGGATGACAAGTCTCTTGTTTTGAGCTTGCAGAATTATAGTGCTTTTCTTGAAATGCCTTTCCTTAAAGTTTACACTGTGTTTTAAAGTTTATATACTATGCTATATTTATGCAAATTAAAAATCTGTGAGTGGTTTGGGCATTTTAGTGGAAATGTATATTGGGCGGGGGAGTGCAGTTCTTTGTGTTAAAATACCAGTTATTAAGTAGTAGAGATGACCACATTGTAACAGGAATGCTATTGACACATTCTATCTTTCATGCATTAGTTGAATTCATTTGTCTCATCATATCTTCTGAAGGAGTCCAGTGCCTGCTTGTATGTTTGTTCACTAAGTGTATGTTAATAATTCAGTGCAAAAGTTTGTGGCCTTGTTGCAAAATATTGATACCTCAGACAATATATTTCCTGGGTACATTTGTATCACACCTGTCTTACTGCTTCTAGCTAATGTAATACTAATTTAACCTGGGGTAACAGGTGGACTTCTAGATTTCCAGTAATGCATGGCATCCCTCATTGTGATAGTACTAGGAAGAGAGGAAATTAAAGTGCCAATGTGGGAATGAAATGGTGTGTTTTCCATACTTTTATTACTTTTGCCAATCTTTTAAAAGGAATGGTGTCAGAATGACAGCACCATGCCCTCTACTGTCATGACTTTGCATTCCCCTTAAGGCAGATGATTGAGAAGGTTTTGAAAGTAGTGTGTATGCTTTTTTAATCTGTTCTTTCCATCTCTTTACATATGATCTTCTGATGAAGATGTTGGGCCTGTTGAAAATGCAATGTCTATGGGTAAGCGGGCAGGAACAGTCTGCTCCACACTGGCACAGCTGATCTTCAGGCTGTCTTCTGCCATCTCTTTAAACTTTAAAGGGACTGCAGTAGAAGCCCAACAAACAGCTAAGAGGCGGGAGCAATCTGCTCCAGCCTCTCTGCTGTTTTCAGCCTGGTAATTCCCAAATATATCCAAGATTTCCTGAAAAAAACCCGGGTACATTTGGGATGCCGAAAAATACCGGTAAAATATTTTGGATAGGTTTTTGGCTCTGGTAGACCTGAATGCACACCCCTAGTAAGCAGCTTCCAAAAACAAGAAAAAGGGGGGAAACCCTGTCGCTTCGTGCTGCACACAGTTGTATGCATGGATCACATTGTTTAAGGAGACCTTTCAATAGGCTTTTTGTTTGTCTGGCCATGTACCTTCCCATTGAAGTGGTACCTATTTATCTACTTGCAATTTCTTGCTTTCGAACTGCTAGGTTGGCAGGAGCTGGAACTAGAGATGGGAGCTCCCTCCGTCTTGCGGCACACTCGGGTCTCGAACTGCTGAACTACTGACCTTCCATCATGCGGCACCCGGGTCTCAAACTGCTGAACTACTGACCTTCCACAGCCTGCAGTTCAGCGTCTTAACCACTTGAGCCACCGCAGCTCCTCCCTTGTTCCTATCTAAATGCAAAGAATCAATGGACACAAGTTCAAAAGGTTCTGCAGCGATTATGTTGTTAAGTGCAGATCTATCCAACTTCTTTTGTTTGAAATAGCGGCAAATGTGTGTAATATAATGTTCAATTTTCTTTTCATGGGAGGCCAAAGCAACTTCCCTTGCTAAATTGAAAACTTCCCCTGCTAAATTGAAACCCCTTTCCTTATGCAGTTCACAATATGGCTGGTATTTGGCAGGTAAAACTAGTTGTTGGGTTTTTTAACTTGTTTTTTTCTGATAAAGCAGGCCCTCAGTCTTTGCTATAATCTATTCTTGCAGCAGAACAGAGCATTCTTCATTATATTTATTGTTAGTGGGTTTATGACCTGAAATTGTATACCATGGAATTTTTGAGATCTGAAGATCTTTGTGCTGCATGTAGATCATCCTTTGAGATGGGCTGTAGTGTGGGGACAAGGCCTTTTGTAAAGTCTTCCATGACTAGTGGGTTGAAAGTAATAGCTGTTATCCAGGAATCACTGCCCTTTTTCTGTTCATCTGCAGATTGTAAATGGCATTAACTACATCCATAGTTGTTTCATTGGTACATTGGGTTATATATTTGTCTTTGTCAAGTGGGATCTTGGATAATGCATCAGCATCCACATTTGATTTTCCTGGGAGATATTTTATACTGAAACGGAAATCAGCTAATTCTCCTACCCAGTGGTAGGTGGTAGTTATTTGTGAAGTTCTACAGCAGTCTTTGGAGCTTATTCTGCCAGACCATGAATTACTTAAAGTGCCATCTGGATCCATTCTGTAACCCTCATCAGATACCACCATTCTTAAATAGCATACTTCTCTTTTAAAGAAGCTTTGAAGCTTTGAATAGAAGCCATTTTTCTGTAGGTGTTTTAACACCTCCCTCGCATTCTCCACATGTTCTTCAAAGGTGCCACTGTAAACTAGAATATCATCCAAGTAAGCAATGCAGATTTTATCTGTAAGATGTTCAAGGCATTCTTCCATACATCTCTGGAAGGCTGCTGGTACATTAGTCTGTCTAAATGGCATCTGGACCCATTCATATGACCCCAAGGTATAATAAATGCAGTTAGGTGATGACTTTGTTCTGCAGTAAGATAGAAATCCAAGATTTGCATCCTAGTTCATTAAGCACATCCTGAATTCAAAAGTTGGGCTGTCAGTCGGGTATAGTTTTCCTATTCAGTTCCCAATAATCTAAACAGAGAGGGAGGTTCCCATCATTCCCAACAGAGACCATTGGGGATTAATACAGTGACTTTGATTTTGTAGTATATTTCCTAGTTAGGAGATCCTTCTTTATATAGTGGTTGTGGGACGTAGGTATGTCTTCTGGTGATTCGGGTTGATATTCATCTGTAGCTTTGAGATTTCTCCCATTGCCTGCATCCCTGTAAAATGCTTTAAATTCCTCTCAACATCTGCTGAGTCGTTTACTTTTTGGGGACCTGAAAGATGGCTCAGGTCTACTGCTGGGTCAAATAAACATTTCTTATTTTCTCCATTCTTCTGACAGGTTCTTTAAGCAAATCAGTGTCAGGTTTTGGAAACTATATGAAACAGTTTTAATTTTTGAATATTCTCAGGGACTTCTGGCCTGATGGAGGGTTCCCAACATTGTCTTGCCCCTTAACAGTTTCATGCTGTTTGGGTTTGCTGACTGGAATATTTACAGGACAGGATAATCATTTTGGTAGTTAGATCAGAATTTATTCAGTTTAAAGGTCTTCCAGCCATGGAACAGCTTGGTGTGGTTTAGATACAGTTGCCACACTTCCCCCTTGAGGCCCTGAGTGAGCCCAACACCTCACACTGACAGTCTCCTCTTGGAACCAGAACATCCCCTTTTCAAACCTTAAATCCACATACATGGCCAAGATTGTTGTCTTTGATGATGTTCACAAGGGTCTCTACCTTCATGTCAAGATATGATGATGCAGTTTTCATTCTATTAACAAGGTGGGGTTCAGGTGATTACTGAAGTTTGAGAATTTCCTCAGTTACATTATAGACATTTGCCATTTTGTGTGTGCTAACGAGAATAGGAACAGTCAAAGCCTCATCATCAGGGGATAAC